GTTATGAAATTCAAAGCAACATGAATATAGCAACATGAACTTATTACTTGCAGTTTTAAACCCAAATATCAAACACGATATGGGTTTTGTAATGCACCTAGAATTGAGAAATTGAATTTGAGGAACACAGATATAGGTTCCACGAACCCAATACGTGGGTTTCGTGAGGAACCCAGCAACTGGATTCCACGAGGAACCTAGAACTTGGGTTTGCGAAACCAAGATCAGGTTCCTCAAAGAATCTAGTTGTTGGGTTCCTCATGGAACCCAGTTTTTGGGTTCAAGGAACGCAGCACAGAACCCAGAACCTGGGTTCGCGAAACCCAGATTTGGGTTTCACAAGGAACCTAGCTAATGATGATGAAGAGGAACCTAGCAACTAATGATAAAGACGATCATGAAAAGGATGGTGAAGAAGATGCTGAGGATGAGGATGAAGAGGATAAGGATGAGGAGAAAGAAGAAGCTGAAGAAATTAAAATTAATTTCATTTAAATTCATTTAATTCATGAATTAAGAAATAAAATTTTTAATTTGTACATGTAGCCTAAAATATTCAGATGAAATGCTTACGTAGATTTATAATTTTATCTACGTAATTTTCACATCATTTATAATATCATTTATATAAAAAATATTCAAATGATTTTGTTAATTAACATGACAGATTAGCAAAAATTTAACGGAGAGATCAAAAAAAGGTCAGATTTTAAACTTTAAGGGCTAAAAAAGAATTTTTTCAGTATAAAAACTAAAAGGGGACTTTTTTCAGTAGTAGAGGGACCAAGAAGGGTATTTAACCTAACAAAAAAACAACTTGTTCCATCTTTAACCCATTCTATTAGCATTACATTAATTCAAATTTACTTTCACATGAGGGAAATTATAATTTCTTATTTCATTGACAAAAATACCCCTTAAAATTTTCCCACGTTAAAAACAATATATATATACATGGAATAACAACCACGTAATTATGTACTTGTTTCATTCTTCTTTAGTAGTAAATATATTTTGGGAATGGCAAGAACATTTTATTTTACTAATTCAAAAAGGGTACATATATTTTACCTCAGCATAAAAAGAGATTATTTACTATTAAAAAAAAACATGAAATAAAAAAAAAAAAACAAATTTCAAAACCAGAAAACATGAAAATCGAACAACAAAATGGTAATGAAATGAAAGGAAATCTGAATCACTAAGAAAATTTTGTACTGTTTTTGTTCAAGAAAAATAAAATATATTGTCTTGGGCCCCCGGAAGGTGTTCTTTTGAACTAAAACTGAAATTAGCCCATGGAAGGCTTCGGCCTTTTGGGCAAAAGGCCTTCCGAAAACAAATTATTTTAGTTTATATATATATATATATATATATAAAATCGGAATAGAACGGCCCGCTCTGATCCCGTAGCATTGGACCCTAGATTAGGTTGTTCACCTCCGTGGATTGCACGTTCGAATCCCGCGGAACCTTTTTTCCCAAGGTTAAATGCTAGATTTGGTCCCTCAACTTTAGTGAGTTGCACATTTTTAGTCCCTTAACAATTTTTTACACTTTTTTGATCCCTCAACTA